TGCCCCATCACAGAAACTGGGAAGGACAGACATACTGGTGAAAGGACAGGGGAAACAGCACAGAGAAAAGACTGCGCTGGGGACCAGTACGCTCTTTGCCCTGTGCGTGAGTATATGATGCACCTCCTTGGACATGCGACATAACAGACCTGAAGATGGCACACTGGAGATGGGGAAGGAAATCATAAAAAGAAGGGTTATTCATAGTCATCGAGAGCCTGTTATGTGCCGGGAGTTAGATAAATGCCATCTTTGATACTTATAGCAACCACCTCATGGAGATATTTGCTCCAGTGTACACGTGGGGAGATTGTGGCTTAAAGGAGTCTAGGCGGCACCCCTGAGGTCATGTAGTGAGTGAGCAACAAGGCTGGGCTCTGAAGCCATGCCTGCCTTTCACTATGTTCTTCTGCCCCCAAGAATAGAAGCCTCTGGTGAAAGAAGTGCTTGCTGCAGGTAGGCGATGACTGAAATATAGGGGACCGAGGGGGAGAATCACAGAATAATTTGGCTGGTGATCTGGGTTATCTATCCTGAAGAACTATGTGATAAAGGAAAAAGTATGCAAAGAAGTGGTGGGGGTCCCATCCTCTCAGACAGAAATTAGGTTGCACGGCGCAGTGGAAGATGTGCCAACAGCAACGAGCCTCCCGAAAAGGAGGCTTTGTTTGTTTAGGGTTGTGCTTGTTTATCCAATAGTGTTACTGGGTAATATGCCTGGTCCACGAGGTTCCATTAAGGTGGTGAGGGTCAAAAGGCATTATGAACTTAGATTTTTTTTTTTTTAAATCTGTCTGTGAAAAGCAGTGATTCTGAGTAAAAATGACTGGGGTCGAATTCTGGCTCTGCTGTGGAAACTTGGGCAAGTTAAATAATCTCCTACACTAAAGTTTCCTCATTCGTGAAGTGAGAACAATACATCTAATCAACATAATCTTAACAATGGAACACTGTTATATGCGAGCTGATACACAGGAAGCTATTGGCACAGCCTGGCATACAGTAAGTACTCAGCGAATCTTGGATCCCTTATTATAATTTTATTTTACTTGTATTTACAATGTAAATAATTCTGAAGTAGATATCCATATGCATAATTCTTTGACCATAATTCTGATTATTTCTTTATGGTAGGTTCCTAGAAGGATAATTACTTGGGTATAAGTATCCTATCTAATCTAATAATAGACAAAGCTTGAAATTGACTGTACCTTCACTATGCCTCCCATTGGCTAATCAGCGAGATATACAAAGATGGCGGTTAATTTGCATACATAGGCATGAAGCAGAAGCAGCGGAGCGAAGACTGAAGGTGGCCCCGGCCGGAGCAGCGAGTGCTGTAAAGGCGGCCTCAGCCGGAGTGGCACCGGTTTTCCTCCGGCACCCAGGACCCAGGCCTCTAGTCTGATCATATTGAATAATCCTGTGCTTAAAGTTTTCCAGAAAAGGCAATTCAATGGCTTGCTTCATTCGACTACCAGGGAATTCTTGAGCTCTGGAAATTAAATTCCTAGAGTATACATTATTTGGCAGATTACAAACCTAACCAAGGTGTGTGTAAAAATCTAGTAAAAATTTCATTAAAATCTCTTTGTGATAAATTGTTAGCAACAAAGAGAAAATAAAATGGAAAGTGTCCCTGCGTATAGCAAACTCCCAGAGTCACAGAAGTGCATGTTCAGTTTAGGAGACCTTGGCCTGGCTTCCTGTAATCCTCCAACTGCATTCATTCCTTGGCATTTCGTAGCACCTGCCACTTTAAATCCCTCACTTTGCACTGCCATTAAGAGTTTAGATTTCCTCCTTATCTTTGACCTTTTAATTTAAGGATGTGGCTTTTAACTAACCTTTGGCCTGTGGGCCAGCAGTTAAGCTGTCCATTCTCCCAGACCCCTGAAAAGATGAAAGATCTTTGGCCTTTTTAAGGACAAAGCCTGTTGTGCAGCACTTGTACGTAGTTTGGTCATCTCAGGCCATGCTTGGGTGACGAACCCTCAGGAGGCAGGTGCTGCAAGGGCCGTGCTGAAGGGTATTATGGGAAACAAACCTTAAAGAAGAGCTTTAGACTTTGGGTTCCTCAGTAAAAGTCGGCCTGTTCAAGTTTCATATCAATGTCATCTTTTAGGGGAAGCTAGTGGAAGACATTTAACAGAGCCAGTCCTGATATAGCTTCCACATTTTGAAAGTGAGGTCACTTACAGGGCTGTCTTGCGGATTAGATGTTAGATAGAAACTGCCACAGTGTCGAGGAGACCTTAGCTGGGAGCGGGGGGACAGAATATGCACAGGTATCTGAAACACAGGGTAGAGGAAATAAGGGCCATGAAGTGCATAAGGGGATTCTAAGAAAGGAGAGATTAGCCGGAGTGGTGGAAATCTAGGAGGAAATCTTTGTGTCAGAGATGATGTTTAAGATGAGTCAAGCTTCCTGAAGGAGTGGTATTTCAGATCAGCCGGGAAAGATTTTAGCAAGTGGAATTTGGTGCAGATGGAGGGGTGAGTAAAACAAGTGAGAATGGGACGTTCATGCAAGCAGATGGAATCACAGGGGGAGAGTCAGAGGTATTGGGGGGGGGCATGTTTGGGGACCATCAAGTGAAATGGTTTCATTAGCACATACAGTTAGACTTAGAAGGGGACTTAGAAGGTAAAGGGAAGGGTACAATGGGGTCAGGCTGCCGAGGTCCTGGTCTGCTGGGGAACAGCATTTTTTTCTTGACTAAAGACAGTGGGGGTGGGGGGTGGTTCAAAGCCAGAGGATTGGCTGTGAGGGTGGAGTGAATGAGCGGATGAGCTTAGTTAATTATAAAATTCTTTTTAACAAGAAAAAAAAAGAGAACACTTTCTTTTCTTAATTTATTTTCAATAAATTAATAGTTAAAAAGTAAATTAGAATCAATGGTAAAAATATCACAAAACAACAGATAAAATCTTTGGCTGATACTTCTAATCACATTCTACAAAGCACAACAATTCCATTTCAATAAAAAGGCAGAGAAGAAGGCTACAGGGCACTATGAAGAGGAGAGGAGCCTAATCATAAGGTGCTGGTCCGTTTTCAACCCTAAAATACTTAGTGACCAAACAAGTCTGTAGCAAGGCTGGGCGCTGGATCAGGAGACTGGCACGCACGGGGTTCCCACTAACTGTCCATGTGACCTTTGCAAAGTCACTTTGAAATGCTCTGGACCTGTTTTCTCCTCTGTCACATGAGGAGGAAGATTAGCCAACGTAATGACCTAAATAAATAAATGGACTTGTTTATACCTAGTTTCCAGAAGTTTCCAGTGGTGTCTGGAGCAGACCAAACACTTGTTTTCAAGTAACAGAGTAGCATGGATGATATAATCTGTCTAAACTCTTCTGTTGGGTTCAAGTGATCCATAAAAAGATGTACCACCCGTGAACTACAATACGTTCGAACCATAAATTCTTACTATTGCAATCACCAAGCCCTAAGTATTGGACACCAAGGAAGACTATGGAGTGATCTTTGAATTAGCCTCCAGTCTTACAGCTACCTTGCCAAGGTTTAGAGTCCTCGGCAACATGGTAAAATGAAGCTAATATTAAAATACTGTCTAAAGTGTGCCTTTGATTTAATGCCAGCTGAGAATAAGTAATGTTGCTCAATTGACAACTATCAGCACACCATTGGTAGTTTGGGGACACACTTAAGTCCCCCCCCCAAGCTTGTGAGAAATGCCCATTTGTGTCTCCTCCTATTCTGGGTCCAGGTGGAAGTTCACTGAGTGCAGTTTAAAGAAAGGACCCAGAAGGAAATGCATTGCTTCTGACAAACACAGCGTGCTACAAGTGTGAATGCTGCATGGAGTGTAATGACATAACGGCCTTACTCATTTGGGGAATGAGATTTTGAGGGGGCCTCATCCAGTTTTCTTCTCATTACCAAACCAACGGGGCTCATTTCAACCTTTCATAAGTCAAATATCTTCCTTCCAGAGTGGCAGGAAATTTTAACTCCTCTGTTGTGTATACTGGAAAGCTGTAATTGCAAATCCATCAATTTCCTACTGGTGGTTCAGAAGGTTTTAAAACCAATGTACCATCAAGAACTTTGGGGAAATAAAATGTCCCAGAGACAATCAAATGACATCATTTGTATTCTGGGCTCAGTTATGGGGTTCATCTCTGAATCCAAGCATCATCAGGTTGGCAAGTGATGATGAGTTATGCCAAATCCACACTGTTCCATTGGCCTGTGGGTACCACCCCTCCCAACATAAGACTGAGCTAATGCTCCATAGCTGGGAAGACAAACTCCAAATTCATTAATTCATTAGAGTCTGGTATTACAGTCCTATTGTCTGCTTTAATCTTTTGTTTAAACTAAGCTCTCTGTTAAATGAGTCGTTAAATGGTAATGTTTGGATTTTTATAATTATATTTGAATTTTACAGGTCTTAAATCAGCAGTAACTCAGGCTGAATTAGAAGTATTAATACCTGACATGTGAAACTGAGGGGTTAGAGAACCTATTTCAGCTGTTTTTCATAAGAAAACTAGGAACTCTAATTCATAAATGATCAAGTCCTTGCCTCTCACAAATATAACCCACCATTTGGCTTTGGAGATAACCTATATGGGAATGGCTCATGGCAGTAACACCTCCCACTTCTGTAGCGATAAAGGATGCAGAGCTCTCCCATAGGTGTCTGTTGCATTCCTGTAATCCTCCCATGTCAGGAGGGTCTTTTCTCCACAGATTTTCCCACAAGCCTCCAGGATTGTTTTCCTGCAAGAGCCAACCTGAAGACTTGTTTTGTTTCCCCTTGATCAACACACTACATTTTTCAAAAGAAACTTTAAAATATGTTCTGAGGGCCCTAGCTGGTTTGGCTCAGTGGATAGAGCATTGGCCTGCGGAATGAAGGGTTCCAGGGTTGATTCCAGTCAAGGGCACATGCCTGGGTTGCAGGCTTGATCCCCAGTGTGGGGCGTGCAGGAGGCAACCAGTCAATGATTCTCTCTCATCATTGATGTTTCTATCTCTCCCTCTCTCTTCTTCTCTAAAATCAATAAAAATATATATATTTTAAAAATGTTCGGAGGGAAGCATTTTTTACTCATCTGAAATGTGCGTTTCGACTCATCTTGCTTATAACTGAAAACATATTGAGTAATTGTTTTTTCTTCAGACGACATCTCACGTAGATGTTGGACACATGAAATAGACAGAAACAGGCCGCATTCCAAAGCCACATTCCTCATGGCCTCCAGTTGGCTCCTGGCAGCTGTCCCTGAGCCACCTCCTGTGACGCTTAAATTCCTGCCTCACAAATTATTCATCAAGGTGACTCTGTAACATGCCAAAGGCTGTTGATGGCAGTGACTTCTGAACAAGTGTCTCCCTGGGTGATGAGTCAGTGCCGCACTAAGGGACATGGTGGCTGGGGCCAGGTGAAGGGACCTGGTAGTCACTGAGCAGAGTCCTGTCGGGCAGGGGGGTTCCTTGGGGGAAGAGTCCCAGAATGTTGCCCGGGGCTGCCACTCCCGTTTGCTGCAGGCTTTGCTCCCCCAAGACCTTGACCAAGAAGTTGATATACCTCATTGCCAGGCGAAGCGTTTCATTCTTGCTCAGCTTTTTGTCGGGAGGGTGCGTGGGGATGAGCTTCCTCAGCCTGGCGAAGGCGCTGTTCACATTCTGCTGCCTCCACCGCTCCCTGGTGTTGGTGAAGATCTTCCCAGTCATGTCTGAGGTCCTGGCCGGGGAAAGAGAAAGGGCCCCGAGGGCCAACACCTTGTAAGAGGCCTGGTGGGTAGCACGTGTTCTGCCAAAACGTGAGATGTGTGATCTTCCTGACCCAGATTTTAGGAAATTAATTTCCTCATTTTCAGGTTTTTTTGAATCCTCCTTTTGAGAAGGGAAGAAAACGTGGCAGAAGAAAAGGCAAGATAAGAACAACCCCCTTTGGCCTTTTTCTTCCTGTTTTAAAGGTTATTTTATCCCAATACCCCCATCCAGTTACAAGGTTATTTCTAACCCAATAACCTCATTGCTTCTTCCATAATGTACTCTTCCTAACTTTTTGGAGTCAGGTACAATATAGAACTGAATAGTACATGCATAGGTTTGAATAATAAAATATATATTTAGTCAATAGGAAGTTAGATATAGATTCTTTTTTAAAAAAGCTGTGGTCCTGTTTCATGAATAATACAATATTTGGGATGATGAAAATAGAATGCATCTCTGCTCTTAGCTGGCAGCCCTCCCCTGGAGGATTGGACCCCACAGCATAAGAACTACAATATCCAGAGTGGACCACATTTAGAGGAGGGTGAACAGGGTGCTGAAGAGTCTTGAAAGCCTGTTGTATGAAGAACAGAAGTGGGGGTATTTAGGGTGACAAAAGAAGAAAGGCCAGGAGCATATGGGGGTGATGATTTGGCATGGATGCTGTAGAAGGTATGCAGGCCTCCCCAGGGCTCCATTCCTGTGACCTCTCCAACCCAGGGGGAGTGATTATCCTCACATATGGCCAAAAATTACTGTGCCATTTTTAACTCTTAGAAACATGACCCCTTTTCCCATGTGATTTGGATTGACATGCATCAGTGGGAACGTTTTGATGCATCAGCAAACTAGCCAAAGCTCAAACCTCGACAGTTGGGTGCTCTTGGCTCACTGCCATCGGCTGGCCATTCCTGTTCCCACAGAGAGTAACAAATATTCCAACTCCACTCCTCTACACCTGCCTTTCTCTGTGCCTTGAATTCCCTCCTCACTCTCCTGGCCTATTTCTACACATTCTTTAAAGAGCAGCTCAAATCCTCCCTTTCTATGAAGCCATCCATTCCACCCCAGAGCCCCCCATACTCTCTCCTCACTGAAGTCCTTCAGCCCGTAGTGGTAAGCAAAGGCCCTTAGGAGAATGAAATATTTGTAAATCACCGATCACAGTGCTTGACACACAGTAATTACTATAAAAGTGTTGATGACCACATACAACAAAATAATAAATATATTTATCAGTAAAATGACTTGTGGGCTATTGAATTATTCTTGAGGGTGATATCTTGTTCTTCTATAACCAAGCTTGCTGTCCGATCCTTAACCAGCTGTACGCCATAAGCGTCTATAGTTGCAAGTGACAGACCTTTTTGTTTTTTTATAAGGAAGGTCCCTTTTATTGACCTTTTTAAATTAAATTCAAAATACAGAACGAGGACCTGCAGCTGAAGCTGTCGCTAACTTCAGTCAATGCAAATACAACTCAAGGTCGTCCTTAATGTGAGAGCCAAGCCACGTACGTCCATGTGAACTCAGTGTGTGGTCAACGTTGAGAGCCAATGCTCTATTCTCCGAATCAGAACACTGACGCCTTGCAAAACTTTGCTTAATGAGGAAGCAGTGTATTCACATATCAGATACCTGCCCTCGTAGAGGAAGGCACAGCAGGACAAAACAGAAGGGGTACGCCATTCTTTCCCTCACCGGGGGGTGTTCTAGTCACAGCACCAAACACTAACCAGCCCTGGGGCGCTCCCTGTCAGTTCATGGGCCTCAGTTCCTCCGCTACCAGGTAGGTTAACGGTACCATTCTCTCTGCCGAGGGTTGTTGTAGGGAATAAATGAAATACCGCATATGAAGACAACCTGTGAACTACACAGAAAGGAAAAATTAGAGCAGACAGAGCACTTGCCTTGTGCCAGGCATGGTTTCTGTGTTCTAACTCATGCTACGCTCACATGTAAACAGCGCTGGTTGCAGGAAGAGTTTTGTAGACGTTGCTGGGGTGGCCTAGGGAGGGGGACATGTTCCAGAAGTTATCCCACTATACAGTATGCTTCATAGGAACCAAATGAGGAGGATCCCAGCTCATTGGGACAAGCACTCTGATACCACCAAGCCCTGACTCTGTAGGAGTCAGACAGTGGTGGAGGCATCCGTGTGATGGTTAAAAGCACAGGCTCCAGAGCCAGACCCTGGTTTGGCTACTGCCTCTACGCCCCCTAGCTGTGTGACCTTGAGCAATCGCTTAACCTCTCTGTGCTTCAAATGCCTCAGAAGTGAAGGGCAACTGTGAGGCCACATCAAATGATACCGTAGGGCAATGTCTGGCACACAGTAAGTGCTCAATAAATGTTAAACGATTACAATGATCCCTACCAATAAAACAGAGAAAAGAAAATGTTCATTGTAATTTATTTTTTCCTAATGAAACAGCTACAATAGCTTTATTTATATATTTATCTCACTGTATAAGAGTGTATAAATATATGTGTGTGCGCGCGAGCATGTGTAGATACAGAGCTAAATACCTGGAAGGATTCAGGCCAAATCGTCAACAGGACTTCCTCAAGGGGAGGAGAGTGGGTTGGGGGGAGATAGAAAAAGGAGACTTGTGGGTTTTATTCTGTATACTTTGGTATTATTTTACATTTTTTATAATAAAGTATTCATATATTATTTGCCTCACAATAGAAAAAAACTAAGTTTATGGGTTTTGATGTAGAAAGACCTGGCTTTGAATCTCAGCTCCCAACTCCCTAGTTATATGACTCTGAGAAAATCTGTTAACTTCTTTAAGCCTCAGTTTTCTTTTCTGGAAAACAGAAATAAAGCCATCCTCAGTTTGTTGTGAGAACTAAGTGAGATCCTCTATGAAGTATATAAGGATATCAGTGAGACACCATGTGCCTAGCACACAGGCACTTAATAAACACGAGGGCTTTCCTCCCTACACAGATGAGAAGTGTCATTCCTCCAGAGCCTGGCGTTTGTCAATCATCTGCAGGCCCCGGGACATGTCCCAGCCAGGTTCTGGTTGCCGTTCCTGCCCTGTCCGGGTTGGAGAGTCCAGTGCTGGGCCGGGAACCTGGTGGTGAATGAAACCCTGGCAGCGCATGGCAGGCTTCAGGCTCTCTCCACCAGCCACGTAGGTCCATGTCCTCGCTCTGCAGAGACACTCCCATGTGGACCCATGGTCCAGTTACAATCCTATGCCCTCCAAGCTTTGGCATCAGCAGTCACCGACACTATGTGCCAGACACTGTGCTGGCAGCCGGACATGGAGGAGCCAGCCACTGCCTGTGTGACATGGAGAGGGAGGCGCAGGGACTGCTGTAGCAGAGAAACAGCCCTGAACCAGGCCCTCGGGGGGCTTCCAGGCAGCCCACATATCCTTCCAACTAAAGGGGTGGACCAGCCGACCCCCACTTTCTGTTCTGAAATACCATGACACCCACGTACTGCCAATGATCTAACCTAAGCCACTTCTAAACACCCTGGCCGTTGGTCCCACCATGAAAATATGAGTGTTGTCAGAACTGTGCCCACCTGTACCTAAAACTGAAAGCTTGAACCTAAATCAGGAGGATTTTAAGATAGAAAGAAACCCGTCATGTTTTCTCCTGGCAAGGCTGGCTGCTTAGCCAGGACTATGGGAACAAAGTTATTTTCAAGCTTCTCTTGTCAAAAGAGGGTTTAGCTCATTCACTAAGTCAACTCAGGCCCATGGGGGTTCTTTTCAAAGTGGGCAAGAAAAAGATTAGGCAGGATAAACTAACTGGTGTTCTCTCCTAAGAGAGCTCCATTCTATTGTGCCAGAAACAGACAGAGGGGGACAAGCTTCTGAAACGAGGCTTGCCATCCCAGGAGGTGCTGCATAATTACTTGTGGATTTATCCTCAAGTGTGTCCCCCTCCTTCTCCATAGGGGGAAATACAAATCAAAGATTTAACAAGCTGGAAAAACTCAAAGCGGAGGTCACTGGAAAATTACAAAAGCCCTGATTTGGGTGGTAAACACACAATGCAATATACAGATAATGTATCACAGAACTGTACACATGAAACCAATGCCACCCCAATACATTTAATTTAAAATTTTTAAATTTTATTTAGTCTTTTTCTAGTTGTGAGGACTGACTGCTGCTAATCTTGATTTCAGAATAAGCTAAAAGCTTAAAAAAATATATGCCAGATGCCACAGGATCAAACTGGGGTGGAGAATTTTGTCCCAGGTCGCACAGGGAATCAGTGGCAGAGCCTGTGTCCCAAGCCTGGGTGTTTATGCATTTGTGTCACCACTGACTCCTGCTGGGTCCGGGTGCATAACCTTTTTTTGTGCCATGGAAACTTCTGGCAGTCTGAGGGAGCTGTCTCAGAATAATGATTTTCAACACATAAAGTAAAAAGCCTTTGGTTCTCTTCTCAGAATAACGATTTTAAGTGCATCACTTAAAATACATTGACCCATCAAATAACCAATTATCCTTAATAGTTATTAAAATAATTTTACATTTATATATAACGCATGTGCTTTACTTTATAACACATTAGTTTTATTAGCATAATTTATGCATAGTGATATGTAAATGATGTTTTTCAAAAGATGTGCAACCTCTGTAACATGAAAGTATCTATGATTTCTAAAGTCACCAGTACTGCTAATACCACTGCAGTTTACTGCCCCCATGCATCAGCAAAGGAGAGGTTACATTTAGACAAAAGGTAAGTGGAAAGAAAGATGTAACTTTTTCCCAACTAAATATATAGAACCCCCAAATTCTATCTACACACCCCTGAATGGACCCCGCCAGGAGTGCCTGGGCAGGAGGAAGGTCACAGAAAACAAACCTGTGTTTATATTGTCACCAGAGAAAAGAGTGACGACAATTGTGCCCCCAGAGAAGGTGACTAATGTCCAAAATAGGAGCTGCTGCTTTTCATGCTGGTGGTTCCGGGACACACAGCCCACGTCAAGCAGAAAATATGCGACAAGGCACCCGGCCAACACGCCCACGGTGGCCTGTCCAGCCATTCAGACACTTAGGGCTCTTCTTCCCTGAGACTTTACACTTCTCCTCCTGGCCCTTGGTCCTGTATCTGCCTCTTTTTTTTAACTTTCTCCTGACAGTAAGTGAAAGAGACGAAGGGTGGTCTATAGAGTTGCCTTTG